CAAAGGAAGGGAGGGGAGAGGAGGTGGGGGAAGGAGAAAGTTCTAGAACTCATCCTGGCTTGGGATGGGTGGGGCAAAACACACACAAAACAAATGGATTACGGGGAGGAGAATGTTGGTGGGGTGATAATATGGACGTAGATTCCAGTGGGATGCCAGCCCTCACTCTGGAGGAGGAGATATGTAAACAACAACAATTCCCGAGGTGGAAACCCGGTTTGGGAATGCTGGGGGGGGGCAGGGTATTTTTCCTTTCCCCCCCGCGCGTTAGGAAGGTGTAGGAGTTCACAGCGGGACAAAGAAGGTTTCTTTCGGGGAGGAGAGTGGGCGCACTGCTCCTCCCTGGCGGCGGCCATCTTGGAATTTTCAAAGGGTAACGGTCGCTGCCCACGGGTGGTCGGGGAATACGTCACCAACGGTCGCTTTATGCTCTCTCCCCCCGCCCCCCCCACCGCTTTCGTCACAAACCGTTCCCTCCCCATCCCATCCTTCATCCGGGACACCAAGGGATGGAGGCGACGGCCATCTCGGGAGTCTTCAAACGTCAACGGTCATGCCTCGCACGCGGTACAGGCCGTGCCCCACCCGCGCGCACGCGTCACCAACGGTCACCTTACAAAGCCCGCCCCCTCTTCCACCGACCTTCCTTCATCCGGGACCCCAAGAGATGGAGCCGATAGACAGATGGATGGTCGTTGGGTTGTTCTTTGTCTTTTCCTTGCCTCCCCCCCAGCCCCCATCACTTCTCTCCACCCCGCCCAAACGGCCTCCCCGGCCGGTCTTTCCCTTTACGAGATCCCGTACAGGCTGTTGGAGGCCTCCTGGAGGGCGTGCGCCAGACGCTCGCTGAAGTGCTCGGGTCCCAGCTGGCTCATGATGAACGACGAGGCGGTCTGGAGCTCCAGCTCTCGGTCCACCAGCTGCTTGGCGGCAACCTGGTAAAGCTGCAGGGGAGAGAAAACACAGCGAAGGTCAGTTGGGTGCACGGTGTGTAGGGGAGGGGAGGAGTGGGGGGGGTCCCCGCTCTCATGGAGGGTGGGGATCAATTGGGTGCCCGGCGGGTGGGGAACGGTTGGGTATGTGGTAGACAGGGAGTGCTTGGGTGCCCGGTAGGTGGGGGTCATTTGGGTGCCCAGTGGGCATGTGTCGTTTGGGTGCCTGATGGGCGTGTGTTGGTTGTGTGCCCGGTGGGTAGGGGTAGGTTGGGTGTATGAATGGTAGGGTGGGAATGGGAAGTAACCACGGTGCCGTGACCCTTGTAAGAGTGAGCTGGTGGTGGGCAGCGCCCTGTCTTAAGGACTTAATATGTCAAAAGACACCATTTTGATTTAATATCAAAAGGGAGGGCAAACAGGAGTGGATCAGAGGGCAGGGCTGCCTGTTCTTTGACTAGTTCTGCTCCCCAACGCCTCCCCACATCACTATGGTTGTCATGACTTATCCAAAATCAAACTATTGCTCGGTCAAGCCCCTTTCTCACCGAGACTGGGATACGGTTACTATATTACAGGTAAACGGTCACTACCTCGCTGGGTCGCTAGTCGCTAGGATACAGTCACTTTATCACCGGGAGTAGACTGTGTTTCTCCTGTCTGATTGGGGTGTGTCGGAGGCTGGACCTTGTAGCGGGCAGAGGTATTTCACAGCAGCTCTATCAGTTGTGACTGGCAGTGGGGAGGGAGTGGGGCCCTGGAGCTCAGGATCAAGTGTGGGGACAGCGAGGGCCACGAGAGGGGATGCGTTTGGGGTTGAAGGGGTTTCTCTCTCCTCACCTGAACAGTGATGAGTTTCTCTGCTAGAGAATCTGCCTCTGAGAGCTCTTCACCAAAGCACAGTGTGACCTTGTATTGGGGCATAACACCACCACCTGACGTCTGGTAGAGTTCCATATCTGCAGCAAAAAATTTGACAGACCCATGTTAGGTTGGCACACGACCCTGCTTCTGCCTGCCAGTGCTATCCCACCTGACTGCTCACTACTTCCCCACCCCCACCAGTACTGTACTCCCTGTACAAACACACTGCCTACCCCACATCATAAGCGAAGCCTCAGTCGCAACACATTCACACAGAAACAACAAGCGCGGAGGCGCTCAGTTAACGCATTATCAAACACCCAAACACATTCGCACAAACACCCCACACAAAGCCACGCTCTCACACACACCCCCAACACACACTCCCCGACACACTCACCCACACACACACACACACACCCCAATGCCGCCACACTCGCCGTACACATTCACGAGGTTGCTTATCTTGGAGCAAAATGTCACATCAGTGTGCATTCTGCAGTTTCTCACCGGATTCCCTTGGGACTCCTGCCAGAGATCAGGCAATGCCTGCTTGTTTATCCCGACATTTCCACCGTTTCGCCCCCACCCCGCCACCCCAGCCCCGCTCAGGGATAATTACCCTGCTCAAATTTCTTGCGGTCAAACAGCTTCTCCACCTTTTCCCTCTCCAGCTTGTTTGTCTGGTTGGGCTGAGGCCCACACGGCCCCGTCCAGAACACCCGGCCCTGGCACAGGCGCTGGATGAAGATCCCGTTGGCGTTGCTGTCCAACATGACTCCCCGCTCCAGGAAGGCCAGCAGCTCGTCTGTTGCCCTCCGCTTCTCCAGGCTGGTGATGGCAGCTGTCGATGGGAAGCGTAGCTTCTCCAAGGCCTGCGAGCCGAAGGAGCTGTCGCTGCGGGTCAGGGGGGCCGAGGACGAGATCTTGCAGCCGTGCCGTGTCACTTCGGTGCTGACCTCCACACCGCCGTAGCAGAACGTGATGAACATGGAATTTGGGCCTGTGGGATGGAGAGGTAAAGAGGGCGTGATCGTCCCCTGTGAGTTTGAATTTGGCGATGGGCTTGCGCGCACTCGCCGATCATTATGGCCCCATCTGAGGCCTTTAGAGCGCGAGAAAAGTTTAAGCTCCAGAAAATGCGTTTACCTTTCTCCGGGAGGATTGCTGGCACCGAACTGGTGATGCTAATTGTGTAGTCGTTCAGGCCTGTGAACCAGGAGAGACGGAGAGAGACTTAGTTCATGATATGCACAACCCCCTCTTCAGCCCCCAGCCGCCCGAACCCCTCCCCCTTTCTGGGACTTAAGAGCTAAAGTCACTCGAGACCACATTATGTTCCTCAAAGAGAGCTGCATCCCGTTGGTCTGATGGAGTTGACAAGATTTAACTGGGGGTGGGAGGTGGGTCAGAGCGTAGTTGGACCTGGTGGGACCTACCCCAGAGGATAAACCAGCAGGAAAACTGGCGAATGAGACCTACTCGTCTCAAATGCTTCAAAACCCGCATCTAATACATTCAGTTCCAAGTTTTATTTGACTATTGTGCATCACGGGGGCTCAGCGGTCAGCGCCGCTGCCTCTCAGCGCCAGGGACCCAGGTTCGGTCCCACCCTCGGGTGACTGCGCGGAGTTTGCATGTTCCCCCACCCCGTGTCTGTGTAGATTTCCTCCAACAGTCCAAAGACGTGCAGCGTAGGGTTGATTGGCCATGCTACGTTGCCCCGTAGAGTCCAGGGATGCTTAGGTTAGGTGGGTTAGACATGGGGAAAATGCAAGGGTAGCGGAATGGGTCTGGGTGGGATGCTCTTCGGAGGGGTGGTGCAGACCTGTTGGACTGAATGGCCTGCTTCTGACTCTATGACCTCATCCCATCCCCTGCCTTCTGGGTAGGTAATCTTGACAAGGACCCCACAACTTAATACGACCTCCTCAGTCCTCAGAGCTCCTACACAGTGTGAGTGGGACCGTGCTGACCCTGAGTGGGGCCTGTGGTCCTGACCTCACAGTGGAGGGGCTGTCGCAGACCTGGTGAAGCCTATGTTAGTTTCTGAAGGATAGCATCAAACCCAGCGGAATCTGCTCGACCCTGGTGGCTGTATTCGATCCTGACTGCGGGATCTCCTCAACGCTGGACCTTCTCGTGAACTGGCCACAATGATCTGCAGAGGCCCAATCGCTGGTCCCCAGCTGGCTAGAATCTGGCCAACTCCAGCACCTGCTGGGTCTTGGTAGGACCTAAACACACCATGGGCTGACACAACGCTGGGTTCTGCCAACCCTGTGGGCTTGCTCATCTCCTATGATGGGGTAGGGAGGCACCTTCGAACTGAGAGGGGCCCGGCATGATGCCACTGGGGCCCATACCCACCTTGCGGCGGTCTGCTCGAATCCAGCAGGATCAGTGAGATCTACTACGCTGTGGAAAGGTATTAAGGAAAAGCCAGAGAACTATAGACTGGTGAGGCTAATGCCAGCAGTGAGTACGTTGCCAGAGGCGCCGCTAAGGGGACAGCGTTTGGAAAGGCAAAGGACTGACCAGGGATGGTCAGCTTGGCTTTGTGCGTGGGAAATCATGTCTCACCAATTGAGTTTGAGCTTTTTGAAGAGGTCACAAAGAAAAAGGCTTTTGACGAGGTTCACATGGTAGACTGGTTAGCAAGGGATTAGATCACATGGAATCCAGGGGGAGACAGCCAATTGGATACAAAATTGGCTCAAAGGAAGGAGAACAGAGAGCGGTGGTGGAGGGTTGCTTTTCAGACTGGAGGCCTGTGACCAGCGGTGTACCACAAGGATCGGTGCTGGGTCCGCTGTTTTTCATCATTTGTATAGACGATTTGGTTGTGGATGTTGGAGCTATGGTTAGTAAGTTGCAGATGACACCAAAATTTGGAGGTGTCGTGGACAGCGAAGGAGGTTACCTCAGAGTACAACGGGACCTCGATCCGATGGGAGTGGCCGATGGAGTTTAATTTAGATAAATGTGAGGTGCTGCATTTTGGAAAGGCAAATCAGGGCAGGACTTATACACTTACTGTTAAGGTCCCGGAGACTGTAGTCGAACAGACAGACCTAGCGCAGAGTTCCTTGAAAGTGGAGTTGCAGGTAGACAGGGCAGTGAAGATGGCGTTTGGTGCGCTTTATTGGTCACTGCATTGAGTATAGGATTTGGGAGGGTCATGTTGCAGCTGTACAGGACATTGGTTAGGCCACATTTGGAATACTGTGTTCAGTTCTGGCCTCCCTGCTGTAGGTAGGATGCTGTGAAACTTGGAAGGTTTCAGAAAAGATTTACAAGGAAGTTGCCGGGATTGGAGGGTTTGAGGGAGGCTGGGGCTATTTGTCGGAAGCTGAGGGGTGACCTTACAGAGGTTTATAAAATCATGAGGGGCATGGATAGGGTGAATAGCTAAGGTCTTTTCCCTTGGGTGGGGGTGTCCACAACTAGAGGGCATAGGTTTAAGGTGAGAGGAGTAAAGATTTAAAAGGGACCTAAGAGGTAATTTTTTCACACAGAGGGTGGTGCGTGTATGGAATGAGCTGCCAGAGGAAGTGGTGAAGGCTGGTACAATTACAACATTTAAAAGGTATCTGGATGGATACATGAATAGAAAGGGTTCAGAGGGATATGGGCCAAATGCTGGCAAATGGTACTAGATCAGCGTAGGATATCTGATTGGCATGGGCAGGTTGGACTGAAGGGCCTGTTTCCGTGCTGTGTGACTCTATGACTCTGTGCCCCTCAGTTCTGTACCTTCAGTGCTTGGTATCACACTCAACTCCAGTGAGGTGACTTCGGCGGAACCTTCTTCATTTGTGGACATCTCGGAGCCTGAGCTAGGATCACAGCTGCTGTCACTCTCCATCTGCTGGGAGTCAGGAGGTGGATCATCACCCATTGCCTGCTGGAAAATACGTACAGGAGCGTCACTCTCTTCCTGCTGAGAAAAGGGAAACAGAAGGGTCACACTCTACCTGCTGGGAAAGGGGGAAACAGGAGGGTCACTGTCTACCTGCTGGGAAAGGGGGAAACAGGAGGGTCACTGTCTACCGTCTGGGAAAGGGGAGGAAACAGGAGGGTCACTCTCTTCCTGCTGAGAAAAGGGGAACAGAACAGTCACTGTCTACCTGCTTGGAAAGGGGGAAACTGGGGGGTCACTCTCTACCTGCTGAAAAACATGGATTGATGTGTCCTTCCATCAGAATCGTTGCACATCTCTTCTTCAAGCGCAACACCTTGTATATAATGTCCCCCCCGCGTTGCCCCATTCCTTACCTGCTCTGAGGTCCCCAGCCCTCTGCTGGGGGAGCTGGGCTGTGAGCTCTCAACTCCAATGCTCCCATTTGCCTCCATCTTCACCGTATTCAGGTCAATGGTGAGTGATGGCCTCTCTGTGAACAGAGCCCAGTAAAGACAGGTCAGCACTGAGAGACAGAAAGACACTGTGTCCAATCCCCAACTCCCTAAGAATAAACTCCACGCAACCCTCTCATTACCTCCTCCCCATCTGTCTCACCACCTTCTCCTTCTCCTCCTCCTCCCCGACACCCCTCTCCCCTCCTCCACCCCCCATCCCTCTCACACCCTCCTCTCCGTGAGATTTTGTATTATGTTTCTCTTTACTAACTTGCTCACAAGCGCACTATGTTTACTATACTGCATTTCCATTCATTCATTCAGAAAACCACGTTAAACTAAATCATCCCTTCCAACCCATTACTGTTTCTATACACCGTTCAATTCCTATCAGCCTCATGCTGCAAGCTGTGTTTAGTCCCGTTTCTGTATCAAAGACAACCCCGGAATAAGTGTTAATACTCAGAACAATGCCATCCCTGCCATCGTGTCTCCATAACTCACTCGAAACTATGGAAAGATTATACTAATTAACCCTTAGTCACTCTCTTGGGACCTGAGTAGACTGCAAGGACATCAAACAGTTTCTTCCACCAGTGTGTCCCTACAGTCTGCTGCTTTTTAATCCCTTTTAAATTTCCTTACACACTACCTACTGTATTTCTATAACACTGTACTACTTACTGTTAACATTTTATTTAAGACTACTATCTTGTACTAATGTACAGATTTATACTTTTTAAATACATATTAAATAGGGCTGCTGACCCCTTTAAGAAACTTACTATCAAAACAGCACTCCTGCCTGGCCTGCTGTGTTCCTCCAGCTCCACATTGTGTTATACCTAGCACTTCCGTGAAACTGCATGAATGAATGGGTATGAACTGTCAAACATCAGCAATGGTAGATGAAATCTCATGACCCAGCTGCAGGAGATCAGTTTAATATCCTCTGTACTTTTTATTCAGGACGCTTATAATTTCTCACTTATTTACATCATTTAAGTCTAGTATTTTTACTAACGTTACTAACTTCAAAGACAAAAGGACTAACAAAACTTTCTTACAGAAGCTCAGAATGGACAGCTATTCCAATCCCATCAGGAAGAACAGCCAGCATTTGGCAAGTGCTGAAACTATCTCCTACTTCCCCAGAACAGATGTCACACAAACCTGAGTACAATAGATACGACTATGTGACACCATCGTGCTAAAATTTTAATGTATGCAAAAACTGTATATAAGAGGCTACTGTAAAACTGTACTTTGGATTGTATCGTGCCTCAAACTGTGTCACTGCGGATGCTCAATAAAGAGGCTACTTTCACCGCTCACTGATCTTCGTTGCTATTGAGCAAGATCCCACACTCCTAGCCCTGTGGCCTCCACCACTGCCCCCACCGTCCCTCTCCGTCCTTGCCTCATTGTAGATAACCCCCCACCCTCCTTTCCCAGCTGCTGCTCAGACACTCACTCTTCACAGCTGTATCATCGACAATCTTGTAGACTTTGAATGGTTCTGAGATGTCAAGCTGGGAGCGCTGGGGCACCTCCTCAAACTCGGTGCTCTTGTTCAGAGCGCACCTCAGCCGTGTTTTCCAAGTGGCTGGGTCCACCTTATCTCCGTCTTTGTATTTCCCCTTGAACTTGGCCCAAGCCTGTTTGGAGAGACGACAGAGGCTTGGTGCAGCAGAACATGTCGAATGCTTATGAAGCCACTGAGCACACACCCCAAAAAAAAAATCAAACACACTCCACACAGGCACAGCACAGGGTTGGATACAAAGTGAGGCTCCCTCAACACCATCCCCCACATCAAACAGTCCCAGGACAGTGACAGCACAGGGTTAGATACAGAGTAAAGCTTCATCTACATGGTTCCCCTCCTTCCTGAGTGCTAAACTGCAGTATTCCCCATAATCGTCTACCCCGTCTCTTTCTCACTCACTTCCTCACAAACTCTCCCTCTCTCTCCCTACTTGATGACAACCCTTAATGTCTACCTGTTTGACCAATCTTTTCATTACCGCCACCCCCCATACCTTTCCCCACCATATCTCCTGCCCCAGCTCATGGTGAAAACAAGGTTTGACTTATCGCATGTCTGTCATCTGGAGACATTTTAAAACAGGAAACATGGTTCGTAAGTTTTCAGATAACACCAAAATTATTGGTATAGTGGATAGTGAAGGTGGTTATCTCAGAGTACAACGGGAACTTGATCAGATGGGCCAATGGGCTGAGGAATGGGAGATGGGGTCTAATTTAGATCAATGTGAGGTGCTGCATTTTGGAAAGGCAGATCAGGGCAGGATTTGTACACTTAATGGTAAGGTCCTGTGGTATATTGCTGAACAAAGAGACCTTGGAGTGCAGGTAGACAATGCGGTGAGGAAGGCATTTGGCACACTTGCCTTTATTGGTCAGTGCGTTGAGTATAGGAGTCGGGAGAGTCATGTTGCATCTGTACAGGACATTGGTGAGGCCACTTTTAGAGCACTGTATTCAATTCTGGTCTCCTTGCTGTGGCAAAGATGTTGTTAAACTTGACAGAGTGCAGAAAAGATTTACAAGGATGGTACCGGGAGGCTGGAGGGTTTGAGCTATAGGGAGAGCTATATGGGACTTGTTCTCCTGACAGAGTCTCACAGCACAGAAACAGACCCTTCAGTCCAACCAGTCTGTGCCAAACATAATCCCAAATTAAACTAGTTTCACCTGCCTGCTCATGGCTGATATCCCTCCAAACCTTACCTATCCGTGTACTTATCTAAATGTCTTTTAAATGTCGTAACTGTACCCACATCTACCTATTCCTCTGGAAGCTCACTCCACACATGAAACACCCTCTGTATATAAAAAAAAATTGCCTCTCGTGTCTCTCACCTCTCACCTTAAAATTCTGCCCCCTCGTCTTGACATTCCCCATCCTCGAGAAAAGACACGTACCATTAACCCTATCTATGCCCCTCATGATTTTGTAATCCTCCATAAGGTCACCTCTCAACCTCCAGTGAAAAAAGTCCCAGCCTTTCTTTATAACTCAATCCTCCATACCCGGCAACATGCTGGTAAATCTCTTCTGAACCTTCTCCAGCTTAATAACATCCTTCCTATAACAGGGTGGCCAGAACTGGACACAGTTCTCCAGAAGAGGCCTCACCAATGTTCTGTACAATCTCAACATGACGTCCCCAACACCTATATTCAAAGGACTGAGCAATGAAGGCAAGCGTGCTAAACACCTTCTTAACCACCCTGTCTATGTGTGATGCAAACTTCAAAGAATTATGTACCTGAACCCTTAGGACACTCTGTTCTACAACACTACCCAAGGCCCTACCTTTGTTTGTTGTATCAAAATGCAATATCTCACATTTATCCAGATTGAACTCCATCTGCTGTTTTTCAGCCCATTGACCCATTTGATCAAGATCCCCTTGTAATCTTAGAAAACCTTCACTGTCTACAATGGTACTAACTTCGGTGTCATCCACAAACTTAGTAACCATGTCTTCAATATTCTCATCAAAATCATTTATATAAGTGACAAAAGAGGACCCAGAACCGGTCCCTGTAGAACACCACTGGGAGGTTGAGGGGTAACCTTGTAGAAATATCTTGTTTATAAAATTATGAGAGGTGTAGATAAGGCGAATAGCAAAAGTCTTTTCTCAGGGTGGGTGGAGTCCAAAGCTAGAGGCAGAGGTTTAAGGTGAGAGGGGAAAGATTTAAAAGGGAGCTGAGGGGCAACTTTTACATACGGTGGTACATACCATGGAATGAGCTGCCAGAGGAAGTGGTGGATGCGGGTACAGTGCCAACATTTAAAAGACATTTGGACAGGTACATGGATAGGAAAGGTTTCGAGGGATATGGGACAAACGCAGGCAAGGGCTGGTCCAGTTTGGGAAACCTGGTCAGCATGGATAGGTTGGACCAAAGGGTCTGCTTCTGAGCTGGGTGACCCCAGAGCTGCAAAAGTGCCGCATTAAGGCTCAGCATTTTGTTGTCATCGAGTGTGAGGTGCCTGCAGGACTATTTTTGGACATCCAAATAAGTTTCGGCCACTCAGCCCTTCGAGCTTGCTCTGTCTTTCAGTAAGACCACAGCCGCTCGAATTTTAATCTCGACCCTGCCTTCCTGCGACCCCACTGATTGATTTTTCGTGGCCACGCTCTCGGGAATCTGCCACCTCCATCCTAGGAGTATTTTCCACACCAGTGATGCCCACGTGCTGGGGCATGATTTGTGCCTCCATGACCTCTGACCCCACCCTTCCCACCACACCATGTTGGCCGCCATAGCCTGGGGGAGGGGACAGGGAGCACGGGGCTTACCTTGAAAATAGCGGCATCCTCGTCGTGCCTGTAGTCCTGTTTGCCCGCGTGCTTCCAGGGGATCCGGAACATTCCGAGTTTACGGTCCTCCCAGACCAGGCCTGGGTACTTCTCGCTGTCCACTTGCTCGATCATCCACTGTTTCAGCTTACGGGTACACCTCACCCCACCAGCCATCCTAAGAGACACGGGGTGGGGGGGGTGGCGGGAGGGGGAGAAAGAGAGAGAGAGGAACAGTGAGGGATGGAGAAGAGGAATGAAAAGGGACAGACGGAGGAATGAATGGAGGGAGGGTGTGGGGGAGTTGAACTGAGACAGGAAGGAACAGAGAGATGGGGACAGCAGTGAGTAGGGCCTCTCCTCACTCCAGTGTGATTTCCAGACCTCTCCCCTCTGCTTGTGATGACCTTCCTGACCCCTCCCCTCTGGCATGAACCTCACTGACCCCTCCCCTCTGGCCGTGACCCTCCCTGCCAGCCGTGACGCTCCCTGACCATGAGAAAGGAGGTTTTTAATTTGGGGCTTGCGCCCGGTAGAGAGCGGAGAGAGATGGTGGAGGGTAGTGGGGACAGTGAGTGAGGTGGACGATCGGAGATTTGGAAGGGGCTGTGGCAGTTTAGGGGCATTAGGTTTAAGGGCATTGAGGAGGTCACGGTTGACGGGTCAGAGTGGCTGAGGGATCTTCGAAGGAAGCAGAGGGAGTTGAGGGAAGGAGTGAGGGCCATTGAAGGATGGAGGATATGAGGTGTTTGATGGAAATAAATGGATTGGGGAGTTGAGGGAAGAGAGTACGTTTGAGGGAAGGAGGATGTCAGGAGGTTGAGGGAACAAGCATAGGGGATGAGGGGTACTGAAGTTGAGAGGAGTTGTTGAGGAAAGGTGAGGGTAAGGGAGAGGTGTTTGATGGAAGGTCAGAGTGAGGAAGGGATTTTATGCATGCAGAGGGTGGTGAGGGAGAGTGTTTGAAGGGTGGAGATGGTGAGGGAGTGAGGAGAGGGGGAGGGAGGTAGATTGAGGAAAAGAGGAAGGGTTTGAGGGTAAGAAAGGCAGTTTTGGTGGGATTTGAGGGAAGAAGTCTTTGAGGAAGGGGCTTTGAGTGAAGGTTGAGGGTGTGAGGGGATGAGGGAGAAGATTTGAGGGAAGCAGAGCGTGAAGGAGGGTGTTGGAGGCCTGAGGGGGTGTGAGGGAATGAAGTGGTGAGGGAGGGGATGGGTTGGAGGAACGAGGGGATTTGAGAAGCCGGAGGGGGCAGGTTTGAGTGAAAGAGGACTGGTTTTGTTTACCCGACAGGAAGTGGTAGCAAAATGCAAGTTGCAGTAAAACCGGTTGCGTAGGCTTAACCAGGTCAGATTAACCGATGAAAGGATTAACCGGGTTAGTCTCTCCAGAATGACGTCCCACCTCCCTGACACTTCCCTTTGCCCCAGATCCATGTTTGGGTTCTGGTGCTGGTTTAAAAGAGAGACAGAGAAAAAACAAACCGTGAGATTTCTCTCTGACAAACTCACGTTTCGCCTGCTCCTGGTCCCGGTTTGGCAGCAGCTGTGTTGCTGTGTTAGTTGTTTGTTTGTTTGTGAGTTCAGTGTCACCCAGCTCACTGCCTACTCTGACTGTCTAATGCCAGTCTCCTGCCCCTGTCCTTTATAGACTCGCTCGATCACAAGCTTTCCAAGAAATCACATGACTGTTTCACCAAAGTCTGTTGGCGTCACACAGGCTGTAGGTTAGCCTGTAGAGGGAGCAGTGTACAACTCAATGTACAAACAGAAGCACATGTGTACACACACATAAATCACACAAACATACACATTAATGCTGCAGACAGGCCTAAACGAACAGATGTAAGCAGAGACACTCAGCATTCACCACAGAGACATCTAAAGAACAGGGCAGGTGATGGCCTAGTGGTATTATCACTAGAAATGTCAATCCATGGACCCAGATAATGTTCTGAGGACCTAGGGTTCAAATCCTGCCACTGCAGTTGGTGGAATTTGAATTTAGTAAATATCAGTATGTAAGTTAAGAGTCTAGTGATGATCATGTCCTTTTGGGAAGGAAACTGCCATCCTTACCTGGTCTGGCCTACATGTGACTCCAGACCCCACAGCAATGTGGTTGACTCTTAACTGCCTTCTGGGCTGTTCAGGATGGTCAATAAACGCTGCCTGTCCAGCGATGCCCTCATCCCGTGAATGAATTTAAAAAATCTGTCTAGGTACATTTGTCCTTAAGATGGCATCGTAAGTGGCAGCTTGCAAACTTTTCACCATTACTCATGCGAGTGAGTGCGCCTGACAATTAAAGCTCATTCTAGAAAGTACGCCACTGAAAGTGCACGGGCGGGGACCCACACACATCAACAAAAACATAAACACTCTCATGTACGTGCCAACTAGTACACCCGTCACAAACACACAGCTTTCTCTCTCGCACACATGCTCACATTCGCACACACACCGCTCTCATTCACACACAAAGCTGACACAGAAAACACAAGCAACAACCAAAAAAAAGTGAAGGAAAAGCTCAGTGGGTCGCGAGGTACCTGTGGTGAGAGAGCAGCAGAGGCTGGGTCACTGAGCATCGGCCATGATCTTACGGAATGGTGGAGTGGGCAGAATGGCCTGCTCTTGAGTACGTTGGAGAAGCAGACACGTGCACAGCTCAAATATACACAGAAATACACGCAAAAGCAGCTTGCGCGCCCACAGTAAGAAAGCACACACTTCCTCCAGCAACGCTTGCTGATCGGTGATTTTGTGGAGAGTCTCCCACGCCCAGCTCTCGCAACCAGCCAGATGTTCCCCCACCACCCCCCCACGCGATGGTGGCTGGTGTGAGTTGCTGACCCATCCTTCCAACCGGGACCATTTAGCGGGGTCTTCCAGCAGGAACGGAACCTGGTCTATCCCGCTGGAAGGACATGTCAACCTTAAACATCACAGCCCCTGTTTCTCGAGCATAAGGAAGAGTAGGCCATTCCATAACCTCATGGCTGTTGGGTGACCCAGCCTCCGCTTTTTCCTCGCCACGGACGCTGCCCGCCTTTCTGAAATGTCCCATCATTTTTTCCTTTTTGTTGCTCGTTCATTTTCGGTGGCCAGCCGCTCCTGCTGCACGGTGTGGGACTCAGTATAACGCTGAGCTGGGAATCAGAGGCAGAGGGGCGCAAAGCAGGGAGTTGATAAGGTGCTGCACTTTGGTTAGGACCCCCCCCCTCCCAAAGTTTGATACACAAGATCACACGGGCTTGGATTGAGGACTGACTAGCCGACAGACAGCTGGGATAAATGGGTCTTTTTCTGGTTGGCAACCTGGCAGGGGCAATACTGGGTTTTGTCCTCAGGGCCCCAGCTGCTAATAATCTGTATTAAAGACTTGGGTACAAGGGTAGAAGTACGATAGCCAAATTTGCAGCCAGCGCTAAAATAGGTGGGAAAATATGTTGTAATGAAGCAGTAAGAAATTTGACGAAGGATATAGACAACAGGTGAGGGGAATGAACGAAATTTGGCAGATGAAGTTTAACATGAATAAATGCGAGATTATCATTTTGGTCAGAGGAATGAAAAAGCAATGTGTTGCCTGAAAGGAGAGACGGTTCAGAGTGCTTTGGTACAGAGCGATCTGGGTGACCTTGCACATGAACTGCCGAGAACTAGAGCACAGCAGGTAATAAGAAAGTTAGGGGAATTTCTACAGAAGGAATGCACAAGTGGGGAAATATTGCTGAAACTGTACAAGGCATTCGTGAGACTGGACCTGGGGTTTCACATACAATTTTGGCCCCCTTACTTGAGAAGGAATGCAGTTGCATCGGGCGGGAGTGGGACAGTTCAGAGAAGGTTCACCAGATTGATTCCAGAGATGAGAGGTTTGTCTTAAGAAGGGAGATTGAGCAGTTTAGGTCAAACTCTCAGGGGTTTAGAAGAATGAGAGGAAATTTAAGATGAATTCTATAAAGTGCTAAAGGGGATTGGCGGAGTAGATGTAGAGACGATGTTTGCTCAGGTGGAACAATCCAGAACAATTAGCTCTTCTCTCATAGAATCCCTACAGTGTGGAAACAGGCCGTTCGGCCCAACAAGTCCACACCGAACCTCAGAGCACCCACCCAGACCCATCCCCCTATAACCCACCTAATCTACACCTCCCTGAACACTACGGGCAATTTAGCATGGCCAATCCACCTAATCTGCACATCTTTGGACTCTTGGACTAGGATCGTATTCAGGCAGACACGAGCAGCTAAATGGCCTATTTCTGCTCCTAGCCCTTACATTGAGATGTCAGAGTCATGTAGTGTTTCACTGTGTGACTCTGTTTGTGGGTCTGGTTCTCCCTGTTTTGTCCCACTCGTCTTGCTATCTCCTCTCTCTCTCTCTCTCTTTCTCACACACACACACTCTCTGGGTGGGTCTAAGCCATTACTCAGACTCTCACCTCTGACTCAGAGTATTGTCGTTCAAATCCCCACCCTGTAAAGCAGAGAGGGAGCAGAACTACATGGACAGCAGCAATTTAAAAAGGGCAGCTTGCTACCAATTTCTCAAGGGGCAGTTAGGGTTGGGCAATAAAGGCTGGCCCCAACCAGCAATGCTCATGTACCATGGGGGAGTTTTAACAAAAAAAATTGGGGGAGGGGGGCAGTGCGAGGATCTGCTGCACCATCAGTCGGTTCGATGAGGGCCAGGCTTGCCATCTGGGTATGATGTCCCAATGCAGACATGTTTGGACAATCAGTACATCTAGAGCAGTTGGTCACTATATACACACAGACCCAGCTCCCCACTTCATCCCCAAACCTCTCATTATTTCCAACCCTTGCTGGGAGGGCTTGGTGGTTGAGAGTGTAGAAGGAGCTTTACTCTGTCTAACCCCGTGCTGCCCCTGTCCTGGGGAGTGTTTGATGGGGAGACAGTGTAGAGGGAGTTTTGCTCTGTATCTAACCCCGTGCTGTCCCTGTCCCAGGGAGTGTTTGATGGGTCAGTGTAGAGGAAGCTTTACTCTGTACCTAACCCCGTGCTGTCCCTGTCCTGGGGAGTGTTTGATGGAGGGTGGGACAGTGTAGAGGGAGCTTTATTCTGTACCTAACCCTGTGCTGTCCCTGTCCTGGGGAGTGTTTGATGGAGGGTGGGACAGTGTAGAGGGAGCTTTATTCTGTACCTAACACTGTGCTGTCCCTGTCCTGGGGAGTGTTTGATGGGGGGGGACAGTGTAGAGGAAGCTTTACTCTGTATGTAACCCTGTGCTGCCCATGCCCCTGGCAGTGATTAGTGGAGACAGTTTTGTGTCTAACTGTGTGCTGAACATGACCCAATGGTGTTTTTATTCGAGATTGTTTACTCTGTCACTCACAATCCGCTGCCACGCAAACAGAGGAACTAAAAATAAACCAGTTTCACCTATTTCACGTTCAAAGGTCACGTACGGATGATGTGGTTTTAGCTGGGATCCTTCTGACTGCAAACCTGGCGTCATGATCCCATGCATTCGGGGCAAGCATCTGGAGACAGATTGAACACTGCCCTTTGATCCACGTTCCCCCACCAACAGTCTGCACTGCAGCTTACCTTCCCAGAAATTCTCTTCCAGCCTCTGTGAGCCAGGCAGGAGGACTGGGTGCTCATCCCAAAGTGTGCCTCTGTAGCGCTAAGACCATTTGTCCTTACCAAGTGTTTTAACTGAATTAAAATGGCTCGAACTGATTTGGAAATATTATATGTCGCTGAGCTACTCAAGGTGATAGAATTGTGCAGCACGGAAACAGACCCTTCGGTCCAACTTGTCCATGTTTCCCAAACTAAGCTAGACCCATTTGCCTGCATTTGGCCCATATCCGTCTAAACCTTTCCTATTCATCCGTCTGTTTGAATATCTATTAAACGTTGTAACTGTACCTGCATCCACCACTTCCTCTGGCAGCTCGTTCCATACATGCACCACCCTCTGTGTGAAAAAGTTGCCCCTTTTAAATCTTTCCCCTCTCGCTTTAAACCTCTGCTCTCTAGTTTTGGACTCTACCCACCCTGAGGAAAAGACTTTTGCTATTGGCCTTATCCACACCCCTCATGATTTTATGTACCTCTATAAAGTCACCCCTCAACCTCCTACGTTCCAGTGAAAAAAAGGCCCAACCTCTCCTTGTAACTCAAACCCTGCAGTCCCAGCAACATTGTGGTACATCTTTTCTGAACCCTCTGCAATTTGATAATATCCTTCCTATAACAGCACGACCAGAACTGGGCACAGTGTTCTGCAAGAGGCCTCACCGATGTCGTGGAGAATTGTCCAGGTTGGCAATGGATTAGGACGCTTCAACCAGAGGCCTGTTCATTCTGCCCGTTCTTTCTCTTCTCTCTTTATGTTCTTTCTGTCTTCTCTCTCGGTGCAGACACGATGTGGGTGGGGTGGGGGGTGGTTGGTTCCTCTTGGCCTGGCACATTAGCCTCCCATGGCGACCTGTCTGCATGGCATGGTGTCCTCTCATGACGGTGGTCTTCCAGCGGTACGTGGTGGTTTCTTGGCCTCGGTGTGGACTGACTCCCGGCCCTGACGTGGTTCCAGAGCCATCTCCCAGCCTCAAGAACCTCGAACTGAAGTCGGCTGCGGTCTGGAGCTGAGGCCTGGTGTGGACCGGAGACTAGGTGCCAGGGTGATC